GAATTTGAAAAGTATAATAAATCATATTTTAAGCTTGATTAGGTAACTTAATGAGTTGGATCCGAAGGTTTTACTTATAAAAATCATGTTTTATTTATAGAAATATAAGGTTATGGATTGCATGTAAGAAAAATATTAGTTTGAAGGGGAAATTTTTTATTTTTTTTAAATACAAGCGATAATAGGGGAAAGGGAAATCAAATTGGCAAAAACTATATAAAAAAGAAGAGAGGAATCAAACATAGGATCTCAGGTGCAAAGGTAAATGCTCTTAACCACTCGAACTACAAGCTCCTTACATCTGCCACCTTTAAAATACGTAGCAATTAACAAGTTATTTGCTCCATTTTTCGGAAGACTTTCAAGGTTTTGTGATAATTAAGGTTTTTTTGTTGTTGTCAAAATTAGGATAATTAAGTTGGTCAGCACTATTTTATTGCTTTCTTGATAAATAAATATTGATTATATATGGTACGACTAGGTACACATAAGTGGAGGCTTGAAATAAAATTAACCCAATATGAGTAAGTATATACTTCCACTATGTTATTGTAAGAGCATCTCCCCTCACTGAAAGTAAAATCATTTTTACATCTTTGTTTATATCTCCGAGAAGTGTAAATAATGGTGAGATGTGAATATGGGGATGTATACTTTGGCAAGGGACATGCCCCAAAATTATGCGATACAGAGGTTTACAAGGGACGTGCCCTCAAGAGATAACCAAAAATAATAATAATAATCTAATGACAAACCTAACAAGGCTAAGCCTGGGTTAGTTGTTTGGTTGTTTTATTGGGCCTCTGGCCCTATTGTGTACAGAAAAAATTGAGTCCAATAAGGGTTTAACAAATCCTTATTGGGCCTGTTATAAAGACTCATCCTTTCCGACCCAACCAAAAAAAACAAAAACAAAAACTCAAGTTACGAAAATCTATTCTGAACAAGTTTTTTTATTTATTATTTTAATACAAGCGATTGGGAGATTGGTGTTTGCATTAATTTGTGTTGACTCCTATTCCTTTCCAAAAGCAACCCTTTCTTCTTTTCATGCCCCACAGTTTTGAAGATCTTGGAGGACAACGGGACAAGCCCCATCTCCTCCTCAGCTTTTGATTCAAAATTCAAAATGTGGGGACTCAACTGTCGTCATCACCTGCATCATTCCAATTTCCAAGTTCTAGCTCAAAGTTTCGTTTTGAATTTTTCCATCTACCTTCTCCAGTTATGCACAAATGAAGGAATATCAATTGCTGAGTATTAACTCCAGAAAGTTGAGAAATCTTGCAAGAACTTATAAGGTTTTTCAGTATAACGGTATAACGTGTCGTGTAAGGGACGGAATATGCCACATGCATGGATAAATATACTGAACATAAAATTATATTTATATTTCCTTTTGGCTGAATTGGAATTTTGACTCTGAAGAAGATAACTACTTTGGATAAGCGTGAGTGAGAGATTATGCCACATACAGCGCAGAATAGAAACAACTAGAAGTCTTGTACATAAATAAACCCTAAACCCTAAATAAATTAAAATGATCCAACAAGATCACCTTCAAACATTACAATAGGAGTGGAATTATTCAAGGATACATGATATATTCTAAAAGAAAAAGAGGACGGAGGGATCGCAGCAACACTCGTCAAGAAGGCAGCAGCAACACAGAGCAGCAAGACTGTCAACAAATCCAAACTTTCAAAATTAATTTTCTAACTGTAAAAATGACAGAGATGGCAGATGTATAGAGATGGATGAGGAAGTTTACCAGCCCTCAAGGAAGCCTGGTTCTCTCCTGGGTGGTGGTGCAGCATATTGTGGAGGTGCCATGACTGGAGGGCCTTGGTAATAACCTACAAGATTGGCCAACAAATAATTTAAAATTAAATTACAAAATAAACCAAAAAATAGAAAAGAAATATATATATATATTTTTAAAATAAAAAATAAAGGTTAAGTAATAGGTACTTCTTCTTCTCATCATCCAAAACAGGGAAAAGTAATAATGAAAAGGGACTTGGTTTATTGG